ATATTCTACAGGTAATTCTTGCTAAACTATATTAAAAAACCCTACCATTTTCTGAACTAGAATGGTATGGAGACAGGGTTTTAATTTTTGCTTAAGTACTCTGCATGTCCAAGTTAATTTCCAATTTTAGTTGTCTTAGTTCGTGAGTAAACATAGTGTGTGGCACCCGGAAATTAGTCATAGTGGGGTCCCTGGCTACTATAAAAAGTTGACGGGCAAGCTTGACAAGTTGAAGAAGAGAAGTTATTCCTAAGCAGCAAAATACACAAAAAGTTATTTTTTTAGTGATTTTCTAATTCCTCTAACTGAAAAGTTTGGTTCCTGTTCTCTTTTGCTCTTTTTTCCAAATTCATGATATCCTGTAGGAGCAAAGAGAGTTGATGCAGTGGAAGTGGAGTAGACACAGTGGGAGTGGTGTACATGCAGTGGGAGTGGTGTACATGCAGTGGGAATGGTGTATATGCAGTGGGAGTGGAGTACATGCAGTGGGAGTGGAGTACATGCAGTGGGAGTGGTATACATGCAGTGGGAGTGGAGTACATGCAGTGGGAGTGGTATACATGCAGTGGGAGTGGTGTACATGCAGTGGGAGTGGTGTACATGCAGTGGGAATGGTGTATATGCAGTGGGAGTGGAGTACATGCAGTGGGAGTGGAGTACATGCAGTGGGAGTGGAGTACATGCAGTGGGAGTGGTGTACATGCAGTGGGAGTGGTATACATGCAGTGGGAGTGGAGTACATGCAGTGGGAGTGGAGTACATGCAGTGGGAGTGGTGTACATGCAGTGGGAGTGGTATACATGCAGTGGGAGTGGAGTACATGCAGTGGGAGTGGAGTACATGCAGTGGGAGTGGTGTACATGCAGTGGGAGTGGTGTACATGCAGTGGGAGTGGAGTACATGCAGTGGGAGTGGAGCAGATACAGATCAAATAATACAAGAATGTCTCCTGAGCAAGGAATTCCTAAACTTCTATAGAAGTCACAATTTATGGATAGATTTGAAAATGTGTGAATGATAGTAAGGTAAGAGCCATTCCAAATTTTCTACAAAGATATAGTTTTGTAATAACAAAGCTATCGTATATGACCATCATAGTAAGATTCTTACTAATATTCACTGAAAACATCTGTTTGTAGACCAAGCTTATTTTTTATTCTTTATATCAACTTCATTCAAAAGATATTTGGATTCAAAATAAAAAATAGCAGCTATCACTTGAGACTGTCTAGAACTGCATATGAGATCATGTATGCATGATGTGTATTTTAGAAATTTTTGTAAATGCAGAAAAATGCAAAGAATAATAAACACCCACTACCCAGAATTAGATTTATCATTATATTTGCTTAATTAGTTTTGAATAAGATAACAACACATCATAGAAAAAATTTAAATCCTGTCAATTTCAAAATTGCCAGTCAACCAGAACCAAGCTCTACAAGCACTGATTTTAAAAAAAGTTTCTAGTAAATAGTAGGCATTCAATAAAAACATGTCTTCTCTGTCTTTCCACAGATGTAACAATTGAGCTATTTTCTTCTAGTTATCTTTTTAGATGCTTTTACAAGTACTTGAAGGGATTAATGAACAACATATAGATGTTTGGTGTCTAGGAGTTAAATTTACATAATATTATATTAAGAATATCATTCTGTATTTAGCCTTTTTCATTCAATGCAATGTCAACCAGAATTCTGTAAGCAAAGAGGAACCTCAATATACTATTCTTAACATGAAACAATGCTGGGTTAATGCAATAGTGTCCTATTATCGATATTTTGCAAATTCCTGATTAAAATATTATTGCGAATTTTTACAAGACTCTAGTCTAGACCATCCATGCTCAGACTGATCAATATAGTTCTTGTTTCTAAAATTTTATATAAAAACATTGCTCTGAAGGAAGTAAAGTAACTGACAGAATTAAGGAAATGGAAGAGGAAACAAGAAAAACGTGTCAATCTAAAAAAATATAAAGTCGTGTTAATGACTATTACATATGCATTGTAAGATAAAATAAATGAGTAATTACTGGTTGACATTGGGAACTTAAATTCTGGCATGGGAGGAAGAAAAAATAAGTAGTTAATTAAGTAAAAACTCTCTAGTCATAAATAAGACCTAAAAGTATCTAACTCTGGATCAATTTCTTTCTTTTTTTTTTATCCTCACCCAAGGACATTTTTCCATCTTTTGTTCAGATAGAGTGGGAGGGAGAGAGAGAAAGAGAGAGAAACATCGACGTGAAAGGGACACATCTAGTGGCTGCCACCCGCATGACCCAACCGGGGCCAGGGACAAACTGCAACCGAGGTACATGCCTTTAGGAAGAACTAAACCCGGGTCTCTCTGGACCGCAGGCCAACGCTCTGACGGCTGAGACAAACTGGCCAGGGCTGGATACATTTCTTTAAAAAATAGATAATTATATATGTTTGGCCTCTGAAAGTCCGAGAAATAAGAACTGACTTTGCACCAACACCCACCCCTAGTACTCAGATAGTGGTTTCTAAATACTATTTCCCATCCCCCAAAGGAACTTGGGCTCCTTAGAGAAATGGCTAATTCCCGTTTGGGAACATCTTGTCACCATCCCCCCCAACCCCCCAGAGAATCAAGCTATGGGTACCATTCTGTGCATGTAACAAAGATCCAGAGTCTACTTGAAACAACTCCCACTGGCCAAAGATGGAATAATTTAGCATCCAGAAGAATAACAGCAATGAACTAAAATACACCAAAATCAAAATCATTTAAAAGTCATTTACACATGAAGTATGAATCCATGAGTTCATAATAATGGTTAAGAAACAGTTAATATTTACATGCTAAGTAATCCAATATATTTTTGGGAATGGCTAAATACTGTATAGTCAAAGAATCGAGCATTTATCCTGTCTTTGCTGTAATAACTCTATATATGAAGGGTTGATAAAGGCAAGTTTCTACTTATAAAAAGTCAAATGTTAAAACTAATTATAATCAAACTTCTAGATCTAACTACCAGCTAAAAAGGAATACAGAGAAAAGTTAGCAAAATCTAGTCTGGGAGAAAGTCTAAGGGGCAAACGATCCTCAAAGGATGGATGGGCATGGGCAGAGGGACAAGGGGAGAGGGGGTGGAAACCTCTAAGTTAAAAGAAAGCAACCAACGGAAATGTGTTCATGTTATTTTGATCCAAATTCTTAAAAATACTTTTTTTTATTTAAAAAAAAAAAAATTTATCTCGATTTGACTCCAGTCAAGGGCACGTACCTAAGTTGCAGTTTGTCCCCGGCCCTGGTTGGGTCGTGCGGGAGGCAGCTAGTCGATGTGTCTCTCTCACATCGATGTTTCTCTCTCTCTCTCTCTCTCTCTCTCTCTCTCTCTCTCTCTCTCTCTCTCTCCCTTCTTCCCACTCTATCTGATAATAAATAGGAAAATAGCCTCAGGTGAGTGGGAAAAAATTTATGAGACAATTGGAGAAATTTGAATAATTCAGAATAAAGAATTATTAATTTGGTGAGGTAATGTTAATTTGGTCATTTTTTAAAAAATCAGAACTTATAAAAATCATATTATTTCATTCAGACATATTCCAAATACTTCGAGGTAAAAGGGGCAGTTGGTAGGGTTACAGATGAAAGGTGAACCCAGTGTTGATAGTTACTTAAGCAGGGTAAGGGAGGCTTGGGGTCCTCGTACTCTTTTCTCTGCTTCTACCTGTTCAAGTTACAGGAAAAAGACTAATAAAGGCTCAGGGGATGTTGAAAACTTGGTAAAATGCTGAAAGGTATCCATAGGAAAATCCTTTCGGTGAAGCATACTCTGTGATCATTAAATGAAAATTAACATTAAAATGCTCCTTTGCGTTAGAGAATCACACCCTGACACAGACTGAAACGGAGGAAGTCTTGAGTGGCAGATCTCGGACCAGCACCTCAAACACGAGCCTCACAAAACGCGCCAAGATAGAACCTGTTTGATGGCAGCCAGCAAATGGGTTTTCAGATGCAGGGAACCAACATAATGGAAATGCACAGATCACTGGAGTCTGTGAAAACCCTCTTCCGATTGTTTTTATTAAGATGTAGTAATTAATGAGGCTTTTAATGATACCATCTATTTCTGCTTAGTGGAAGAACGGTTAATATGTAACATGAAAAAAAACCCACCCATAAATATTGAAATGAATAGTTTTTTTTATTTTTTTATTTTGTGGTATATCTCCATCTATTTCCCCTACCCCAGAAGCCTAGTTATAAACTTGTTGGTTTTGACAAGCGAGACAAGGTACTTTTGTCAGTGCTACAGGTGAATTCTGGCACCTGTTTGGACACCAGCTGTGTGCTAATTAGTCTCAGGATTGCCGAAATCACCAAATATTAGAGACTGCTCCTTCTGTCTTCCAGGAATGAGTGTGCGTTGGCTGGCACAGGCCCCCTGGAAGACCAGGCCTGGTCCTAACGGCCTCTCTGACGAGTTCCACCAACTATGAAGTCAGAACTAGTTGCATACATATGCCTGTGAGTCAATGCAGGCAATGGCGTGGAGGGTGATTTCGGGGACACAGGAAAAAACATGCTCTGGTCTCATGCTACACGTGTTCAGTATCTGGTTGTGTCTGGTGCCATTTTTTGATCAAGTATTAGTAACATCATGTCTACCACATTCAAGCCCTATGCTCTCCCATACACTTCAACAGTTCACTGGTGTGGCTTTCCACTTAGCCCTTCATCTAAATTAGTGCAACAAAAACAGGGAACAGAGGCACTATTTCCAGCCCTGCGAGAGGAACTGGATTGCTACAGGAGCAGTTTCCACAGCTGCCCTGGGAGCCCTTACGGGACTAAGTCCAGTGTGGGAGATTTGGCTGCAATGAAGGTTCTCTCTGGACATGGCTTTACGTCCTCAATCTATTTATAAACAACCAAAAATACGAGATGTAAGATAAAATGCTCAATTGTTGCTTCTGATGAAACGGATGGATTTTATTAGGAAAATGAAAAACACCTACCTGAAGACTGCGAGGGTCAGAGACCAGAGCACTAACGGCTTCCTCAGTTCAAACTTCGCCCGCTTGTTCATTAGGTGCCGACCGCCAAAGATAAAGGCAGCATACAGAGCAGAAAACAGGAAGGATTTCTTCCTATGAACAAATTAAAAAAAATCCAAATCTTATAAAATACAAATTTAAGCAATTTATTTACCCATTAGAAATTTATATTTAGTCGTTATTCACCAACTTTTATACCAGTCCCCTCTATGCAAGCACAGAAAACATTTTCTTGGGAATGTGCCCTTTTCACTAGAGTCAGCGTTTAGTTCATTGGGCAACGTGGCACTGTTCAATCCTCCCTTAAGGAAGAACACAGAGCCACCTAACTTGCCTAAAACTTTGAGCTTGATCTAATCAAATGTCTGATCTTACTACCTATGTATAGGAAATACTGGAACGTCATCCCATACACGATAAGGTTGTGGGGTTCAACTTCTGGTCTGGGCGCAGTAAGAGAGGCAACCATTTGATGTTTCTCTCTCTCTCTCGTTCACCTTCCTCTCTCTCTAAATTAAATTTTTTTTTTATCCTCACCTGAGGACATTTTTCTATTTTTTGTTCAGATAGAGTGGGGGGAGAGAGAGGATGAGAAAGAGAGAGAAAAACATCGACGTGAAAGGGACACATCGAGTGGCTGCCACCTGCACAACCCAACCAGGGCTGGAGGCAAACTGCAACCGAGGTACATGCCTTAGCGGGAACCGAACCCAGGTCTCTCTGGACCGCAAGCCAACGCTCTAACCACTGAGCAAAACTGGCCAGGGTTAAAATAAATTTTTTAAAAATCCTCAGATGAGGATTACAAAAAAAAAAAAAAAAAAAAGAAATATCTAATAGAATCTCTAGGTCTTGCTGGCTTATCACTGTGCCAAGGTGAAGTGTACAATAGTAGTGAAAATGCCCAAAAGAACAAAAGCTTCTATAGACTACAATCCAATAAAATGTAAGATGCCTTGTAAATAATTTAACCATCTGAGCATACTTCCTGAAAAACCAATATTTCCCTTAAATTGGGCATTCCCCACTGAGTCTGGTTAAAATGAAAGGGTTGAAAAGTCATTTATAAGACATACTACAAATAGCAAAATGCATTAACCCAAAGAGCACCATTTATAAAATGCTTCATTATTTTCCCCCTTAACTGCTGACACATATGGGCTGACTCATGAGGAATCTTACTATTTACACGTGCAACATTCCTAACTCAAATAAGGCAAGTGATTCCAGAAATCAACCCATGAGTAAGGGTGGAATAAATCACTTCCACTGAGGTTTTCAAATACTTGTCTTGGAAACACAAGACCTGGTACAAAGGAGTGCTTATTAAATATTTGTTGAACGATCCTGGTTTTGTCATCTCAAATTTTCTGCCAGGGAAAATAATTGTGTACATGGTTGTTCAGCAAACACTAACTAAGTAAATGAACAGTTGTACTTTTCCAGTGATACATTAATAAAGAATAAAATATTTAGAAAAAAAACATGTGATCCATTTTCTTCTCCGAGAAAGAATCTATTTCTATAGTTCAAATAGAAATGAAAAAGTGGGACACTTATGGAAACTTAACTATTGAACATTTCAAGGAGAAAATACTTTGGGCCATAAATATATTTATTGCTTTATTTCTTTGTATTTTGCAAGTTTACAGCATGAAATTACTTTTAGAGTCAGAATCACTATTCACATTTACATTTGTGGAAGCAAGGGCTCACTAAAGAAAACAAAGTTCTATCAAGTTAATGCAGGCAATAGTAATATCAAATAGTATTTATTCTTTTAAAAATGATAAAGGTAATGATAAGTGACAATAATCATAGTATTATGATTTAGGAAGTGATTCCTATGGGTAGAGATAGTGCTTAAAAGCATGATCATTTTAATCATCCTTAATGCAGATAAAGCATTATCTTCATTTTATGACTAAGGAATCAGGCTTAGAGGTTAAGTAGCCTTAGATCCTCGCTACTTTCCTATGCTAAACTTTTGGGGACAGAGGAGAAAAGATGTACCTGATGTGTTATCTTATAAGCATATAAGAATTCCTTAAGCCCTTCTACTGAATTCCATGACCAATGTGTAATTGTGTAGTACATTATTTAACTGTGAAAGAGTAAGAGAAATCTCCACAACTTCATGGTCCAAACCCCTTCACTTCATGGAGAACAAATTATTGCTCATTCAATCCAATTCAAGTTTTGGTTATGGTTAGATTGTGTTACTTACGCTTATAAAGCAAGTTAAAGGGATGTCTTTATATGATCCTATCATTCTAGCCATTAAGGGGAAAGTAATGTGCGCAAATAACCAGGAAAAAAAGAAAAATCTTCCCTCTGTATTTTTTTCTCTCTAATTTCTTCAGTTCTAGAATGAGAATTAGTCCTAATGCACTGCTAACTTCTTGGCAAGGATCATTCTCTTTTTCACACTTTTTCTAAAGATTCTTCACAAACCTTCCGTTCCACAGCCAGGGTAACCAAGTCAATCAGTACAGATGCACAGAAATTAAGAATTGCAAGGAACCTTAGAGATGGAGTCTGATTTCCTTGTGCTACAGAGGAGAGAATTGTGCATGTGTGCGTGTGTGCTGATGACATTGGTTGCTGATGGTCACATAGGTGCATACTTCATATTGGTCAAAACTACAAAGTCAACATGCAGTATTTGTCTAGGCTGTATCTGGGCCTCAGGCCGTCAATGATGTGAACTAATATTTGTTTAAGTATAAATGCAATAATAAAAATGTTGCTCATTGTCTATGATATAAATCTTCTGTGGTAAAATTCAAATAATGCTCTTTGGGTTAATTTAAAATTAGGTTTAAGCTTCTATAACAGGAAATCATCTTAAGGAAATATTAAATCTCATCTCTTCAATTGAGTAATCAAAATGTATCATTTATAGTTTAATGTATTGTGATTTTTCCATTTTGCTTAGAAGAAGATACGATTTTCTTTAGCAAACAGGGTTAAGTAAATTAAAACTGCCTTTCTGTCTTGGCATCTGGGAAAGGTTCAATTATAGTCAAGATGAATAATGACTTGCTGCTTGCCCACTTACTATTTTATGTAGAGCAGTGACTTTCAACCTTTTTCATCTCATGGCACACATAAACTAATTACTAAAATTCTGCAGCACATGAAAAAATACTTTCTTGCCAATCTGACAAAAATAGATATCATTTTGATTGATTTATAAAAAATATATAATAACAGTAATTACCTACTTTTTTTGTTCCACAGTGATTTAAAAAAACCAAACAAACAAAAAAAACAGGTGCCTATACTTGTACATAAGGATTTCTGGTAGAAGAATTAACCAATCAGGCGAACCTTATTATGCAACATGACAAATAAGATGCAACTCTATTACATGACCTATATATTTATGGTTCAAGCCAGGGCATTCACGCTGGATGGTTATTGTGTTGGCTGTCATTTTTTTAATTTGACTGTCTAAGAGAAAAGAGGTCAGTACCCCTGACTAAATAGTCAGGTATTGCCTGTTTTAAAAATTCTTGAGGCGCACTGGTTGAAAGTCACTGATGTAGATAAATGACTTCCCTAATGTCTCAGTGGTAATCCAGTAACACTTCATATTCTGACCAGCCTTCAGAGATGGGTATAATGTAACACTATATTGTTTTATTACCAGATAACTAGCAATTTCTAGATGGCATTGACTCTTCTTGCTTAATACATCTTAAATGCACATTATATAGCACAACCCTTAACTGTAGGTGCTCTTTACATTCTTCTCAGGATGGTGACTCTGTAGCTATAATTACGAGGTAACCAACCAAATAAAGTTCACCCAAATGAAGTACTGATGTGCTCTGAGCGTGTTGTACTTGGATTCACACTTCCACTTCTGTCATCAATGTGAATAAAAGAAACTGGTTCATAATTAATAAAAACAAATGATGGTCTTATCCTTTATCCGTAGAGATTTAGAGTTCCCTATCATGCTACCTTGTTCCTAAACATTCCTAAGAGGTGTCTTTTTTTCTATTCGTAACCGGAGTAACAACTCAATATTTGTATTTATTATCCAATCCAATAACATGCTCAAAGAGTGTGTACCCATTCAAACGCTTTGGTTCCCCCAACTTCTAGGATTCAACCGAAACCAGCACTCAGCTTCTGTCTCTTTAACAATTCACATCAAGATCTCTGCCAGCATACTTGTACGCCTTCAGGAGTCAGACACGTTTATTTGAGGATGGTGAAACTTTCATGTGGGCAGCATTTCAACAGAGGATAATTGCTAATGAATACCTTCAGGAGATGGCCTTAGCTCCTTTGTGTTTAAATAACCTTGCTTTGTGGCTAGTCAGGGGCTACTGAGTTGTGAAAGTAAAAACAGAGCTGTGGGGGAGGAAAGACAAGGAAAGGAGACCTAAAAGCGTCTGCAGCTGAGAAAAATTGCTGACTGGTGAGGGCACCTCTCTTTCAAGATTTCTCCTTTAGTTCAGTTGCTGATTCCAGTCAGGACACAATTCAAGGTTCTAAAAGTAATTTTAAGGCTACAAACAGATTGGAGGCCCAGAGACTGAGGAAATAACACACTGCTTTTCGCCCACAAGATATTCAGTGGATGTCTATGGTGGTTACAATGTCATAAGAATAGAGAAGAGGGTTTTCTTAAAAGGGATCCTGAAGTTATGCAGTTGGAGTTCTGGCCAGGGCTGGACGGTCACATTCTTGAGATTTCAAGACCCCTAACACTTCACAGAGGCATTTTTTAATTTACAAGCAATGGAGATTTTCCTGCAGTTTTTATTCACAAGTAAATTATAACTAAAAATTAACTTCGCGCCTAGAAATTCTGACAAAGAATAATTTTGTGCATAATAATTTTGTGTCCATAGTGAATACAAATGAATGATGGCTTCATGATGGCAAGACAAAGCCATGACTAAAGTAAAGGCTGTTATGTTTGACCCAGAAAACCAAATAATGTGTGATTTATGAGCTTCTCTGAGTTGCAACTACCTCTTTCTTCCCCTCAAATGCTAATTTAAAGATCACAGGTTCTCCTTATTTATTTTTTTAAAAAGGCGAGAAAACCATTCTTTTCCAATTCAGTTTTT